ACTGCGAAGCATGGCTTATGAAAGTTCACTTGACAAAGGTCAAAAGGTAGCGAAGCGTATGTCTTGTATACTTAAGTAATTATATACAACAATTACACCCACAACAACAACAGCAACAACAACAACAGTAATAAGAAGAAGACACAGCATAAATAATACTAAATCAACAGTTTTGAGTAAATGAAAGTGCTGCCAATGTTATTAAGGTTGCGAGTCATGCTGGTATTGCTCGTGCTTCCACTGTTATTGTTGTTGTTGTTTTTGTTTTTGTTGTTGTTTTTGTTTATCAGTTTAGTTGTTGTTTGGCATTACTGGCATGTAAATACGTAAATTTTGGCATTATCGTTAATGCAAATATGCTTGACATGCCTCGCAAATTTGTGTAGGCCGGCACATGCCATATGCCACATGCCACACTCTCCTACCAGCTCCGACTATGGAAACCGAAACCGAAACCGAAAACGAAATCAAATCAAATGAAATGATGGCAGCAAGTGACAAAGCGAATTCGCTGCCCACTAACAGAGTGCCAATAACAGAACCAATGGTAAACGTAAGACACATGGGGAAGGGAACAGAGTATCGTCAGGTACATCAACAAAATTTGTCAAATGCTAATGCCACCAACATGAAAAGCCTCCACTAACTCCACTAAATCCGGTGAGTTCGCCGCTGCCACCTGTGAGCTAACAATAGCGTTAGCGTGCCATTCAACCATGTTGACAGGAGCAGCACTGCTGCAACGACGACGCCCACGCGTTGCCCACCTCGCCACCTCGCCTCGCCTTGTTAGCTTTGCTTTGCTCTTGGCGTAATGCAATTTGGCATTTCACATTTTTGAGATTTGGTTAATTTTATTAAATTTCACTAAACAAGTCCCGGCGTTTCGCTTTGATGTACTTTTGTTGAACTTTCTTCATCTTTAAATTGGCCATTAAGTGTACACAAATCGTTTGGCTTATGAATGAAAAGGTATATCCTGTAAATTTGTTTGTCATGACCTTTCCATATGTTGCTAAACTTCCAATATCAAATTTAATAAAATCTCAAGGAAAACTTTTACAGTTTGTTTAAATATATATATTTTTAGTTGAGTTGAGTTGATATTTATTTGTTATTAAAGTCAGCAACACTCTTCACTTCCCGCCCGCATATTTAGTGTACTTGAAAGAATTTTAGGTTTTCCTTTAAATTTTCGCTTTTGTTAGCTTACTCTTTCTGATGAGTATAAATATATATAGCTTAATCATTAAGAGTTTAAGCTTCACTTCGAGGATATCTTAGTATTCTGACTTTTATGAATTCATTCATTCTGTGCAAGCCATTTGAGATTGACGTCTCAGTATATGGAGTATATGAAAAGAATTTAAACATCGTACATCGTAATATTTATTTTCTTTAGTTTCAAGACTTCTAAAAATTTTATGTCTGCTACTTAAAAAAAATGGCTTGAAAGTGTACAGGTTTTTTTCAAAGTGCTTAATAGGATTTAAAAATGATCCACCTTCAAACCAGTATAGACACTAAAAATTGTTGCAAAAATAGTTTTACAGTTCACCGAATGATCGAAAGATATTAAGTAGAAGGAAGAGATAGAAATGCTGTTATGCCTTAATTCAATTTTCATTTTTTTTTTTCAGAAGTATTGTTCATCTGTCATTGACTCTTAAGAATTTCTCAAATCAAAAAAGTACAGTTTCCCAATTTAAAGCAATTTAAAACAATTTCAGTGAAATCAAGAAATCGTTAACGTTAAGAATAAACAATTGACTACATTTGTAAATTTTATATTAACATTACACTTCATTATAAGTAAACCACAATGAGTTATTTTTATACTAAAACTGTAGGTGTTACTTTGCTGAAGTGCTACTATCTATCGCTTTAATGCTATTTAAGATAACTTAACGATAGTGCTATAGAATCACACTAGATTTGAGAGAACATATTCCGAGCAATAAAATAACATTTGTGATTGGTTATTTTATTAATCTTAAGCAGCTTTCTAAATTTTGTGAAAACATCTATTAATAATACTACCCTAAACTTACTTTAATAACATAGCTTTAATAGTTACATGGTATATGCATAGCACGAGCAAAGCTTGAAATGGGAATGAGAAGCTATTTTTATTCGAATAAAATAGTGAAGCTATATCTTCAATTAAATAGCATTTAAAAAAATTGGTCGTTGCCTTAAAATGAAAAAACCGATATTCAGTATTGCATTAATATTGTACACTCACTTCTCTGTATTGTTTCAGAGGGACTTTCTAATCTACTTCTGGTCTCTACTCTCACACCCACCCATTAATATTTTGTATTGAAATAGGCTTATCCTCTACTATTTCCCTTAATTGTAATTGTCATAGTGGTGTTGAGGATTATAACAAGATTTTAACTTAGGAGGTAACGAAGAGATTAATTGATTAAATATGATTAAAATGCTTGACACACGCACAAGTAATCGTTTTAAAGTATTTATTTAGTATTTTTCCTAATTAACTTATTTTAGGGAATAATTTGGAATTTCTTATATTTAACAAAGCTATTAAGTATTTATATTAAATTTGTGTTACTAATATTATAATTACAAAAGCCACATTCACAGCCATGCTTAATTGATATCCTGTAGGCAATTCAAGAAATTTTGGCAACTTGGCAAACATTTGTCTTGGCTGAGTTATATGAAATTCGAAATTAATTGAATAGTTTATTTGCAGATATTATACCAAATGATAAACATTTATCCTTTACAATTGGATTATTCCATATATTTAGAATTGGAAATGCAATTCAATTTCGGACATTCTTGGAGATTTGACATCTTGCGGCTAGTTTTGGTTAAGTTAACTGACAAAAATTATTGTCAACAACTGTCAATAGTTATTCCGATTCACGAATTTTCTATTGATGTCAATTAATTTATATTTCAATCTGTTACAGTTCGAATCATCCTTCCATCACAGTCTTGGATTCGTCACTGTCATATTGAAAACCTTGAGCGAAAGATTCGAAATGCTGTTAGCCACATTTATTTAACCGAGAAATGTTTTCAATGCAGTTTTGGACAAGTTAGTTGGAGTAATTGAACGACTTTTTAATGATGTTGACTGCACATTGATTGCTCTTGCAATGAATCAATTGATTTCAGTTTCTCCATTTATATGAGAAAGTCTGTTCTGTTTAGTACTTTACTGCTTTCCGAATATGTTCAAGTTTTTATGTCCGTAACACTTCATTTTTATTACATAAAATAATACATAATATTAATTATTATTAGTATTAATGTTTTATAATTTGGCTCAAAATTACGTATATGTGTACCGCTTCAACCAATATTTTAAGACCAAGTATTGATTTCACATCATAGATGTCCCACATTAAGAGTTCAAGGAAATATGCATTCTAAAAACACATTTGGAGCATCCCCTTAAAAGTGATTTTCGATTTGACGGAAGTTTTTTTACAAGTCTTCGTTTAAAAATAAAAACACCCGTATCTCTGAAAAAAATTATAAATCACAAAATCAGAAATACAGACCCATGAGGTTTTGAGAATAAAACAGTTTTTAATTCGCCATATCTCAAGATCTGTAAATCTCAAGATGTACAATTTTGTGCTTTGTTATAATAATTTATTGAACTTTTTGTAAATAATATAGTGAAAAATTATTATTTATAGCTTAATTCTAGATCTCTTCTATAAATTAGTTCTTACCTGTTCTGCTTAAGTTAATCATTTAATTTAACAGTACAGCTCAGAAGGGATCTTTCTATATACCACTTGAAACTCAAACAAAAAACGTTTTCTTTGAAATCCAATCAAGCAAAAAGCATCTTGACTCGGTTACTCCATGATCTCTTCTGTTTAACATTGTTGTAGACAACCTATTTCTTGTCCCCACTGTTGATGGATTATAAAAATTAGTAATTTTCGTGACATTTAAAAAGCAAATCACAAAAGCGACGTTATAAATTTCTTCCCGTAAGAATATAAGTCATTAATATGCCGAGCTTTGAGATAAGTGTATACATTTCAAATGGTAAGGAACGTCCGAATTTGATCAATTTAATTTTTCAACGGTCTCACAAGTTAGTAGCTGCTGATTTTTATAAATTAATATCTTTATTTTGTCTTCATCAACTTCCACTGGTCTTCTAGAACTAGGTACATTTTTAACATTAAAATTGTCGGTTCAAAATATTGTCAGCCTATTTTGACAGTGGTGTTCTGTCCATATTATTATTATTGTTACGCGATGTGGCAGGGCGACCGTCGGGTCTATTGTGCCCCTTCTTGATTTAGAGTAGGTCTCGAACCTTTGTCAATAAAAAGTAATATAGAACCTACTTTACAGAGTTTTATTGCCTCTCCCATAAGAATATACATACCCAGGAGCCTATTCTGGACTATATGCATTAGCACAGGGCATTTTAACAGCACATGTGTGGACGACTCCTCATTCTCTTTACAGAATCTACAGTTTGCATCCGTAGTTCTGTCCATATATCTGCTCCACAGATATCGGATCCGCTTTGTAATACTTCAATAATATTTTTAGCTTTTCAATTCTAAAATAGTTAAGTTCCATGAAAGTTTTTGTTTTTACTTTTTATATTTAAAAGAATACCAATTAAAAACTGTTTAATAGAATCACTCCGATTTTAATTTCTGAAGTCCCATTTAACAAATAGCATCACTTTTTTTATAAATATCGGTATTTCAAGTGCTTTGAACTGGTTCATCTTTTTACTTCATATCAAAATATATAATGATTATGCAGCTTAAATGTAAAGTTATTGGGAAAAAGTAAAATTACTATATTAGGGTGTTTTGGCAGGAACAACAATATATCACTTAGGTTTGGATGTACAGTTATGACTTCTGAAACCAATAATAAGAATAATACAATTTATTTATATAAAATAATGATTTCAGAAATTCAATTTTTAATTTTTTACTCTAAATTTTAATTCCAATCTCTTTGGTTCTAATTACAGAATAATTCTGTGACATTTGTTACAATCGTGCGATGCGAGTGGATCTAAGAAATCAAACTGAAACACATTATTGGATTGTAAGTATTAGCCAGAAATAATTGCATTAAATCTAAATTAATTCATTACAAAACTCAAATTCTTCCTAATGACTGCATTGTTGAAAAGGAACCGCCATTTATTATCCTAGCTCTAACCAAACGAAACCACATTTACCTAAAACCATCATATGTATATTATAAAAATTATTAACCTGAAGCGGGGCCAAGGAAACTTATCGTAAATGAGTCCAGCAGCCAAAACCTTCCAAGTACCACAAAAAAAAACAGAAAAGAACGAACACGAACTCGTTGAGAGCCACAATTATTTAGTGATATTCTTATGAAAGTATGCAAAGTTGTCTGTATAGCACCTTATTCTTCATCTGCCGTCTTCGTGATTGTTGCAATATTGGCCTCCAGCCAAACACCAGTGGCAAACAGTACCACTAAATACACACTTCGCTATAGATACAGTCCACATTTGCCACAGTTGCCACACTTGCCACACTTCGAATGACTAAAATTATTAAGCGGCTCAAGCGCCGATAAGCAGAAATAAGGAATGACACCGCTAAACTTGGTTGAAGTGACGATGGAATATCATTGTTTAACAATTTGTTTGAATTTATTATTTTCATTTAGATTATTTTTTTTAATTTTGTTCTTATTTCTTTTAAATAATTTTATTGCATATTTTCCTTAAATTGAATTTCATATTAATTTTGAAAACATTTTTGGCAAAGGTTGGTGTCTGTGCTGTGTGCTGCTCCGCCGCTTCATTGCTTTGTTGTTTTGTTGTTTTGCCATCGGCAGATGCTCCAGCCAAGCGGAGTGTATGGCCACATGCAACATGTCATGCCAAAGACTCGACTACGTAATGAAGTACCTCGCATTTATTTGCATTTGGCATTGGAAACGTTGCCTCCGCAAAGAATCCGTTTGTCACGTGTTCGATTGTTGCCACTTAACTTTTGATCAAGTGGCATATTTTTCAATTATGACAAAAATTTTTAAGTGCGGTTAACAAAAACAAAACGAAGACAAAAAAAAATTAAATAAAATTAAAATAAATTCTAAAAGTTGTTTGACGTTTTACTGTTGCACGAAGAATAACGATTCCAGCTTCAACAGTTCTTCAAAGTTGAATAACTTTTTCAACTGTCAGATTATAACACTATAGCATGGAAGTTTATTTACATGGTGCATGTCATTTTTTCTTTTTCTTTTGTTGTGTTGAGCAGGTGGAATGAAACCGACCGTAGTCGAAATAGGGTGTCCGACTCCCTAACATTAATATGTAGTGTATACGGACTAAAACACCTCATCTCTTCCCTCTTCGGCGAGACGTATTACCCCTCGGAACCGCTTTCGCATTACTTCGAGGAGGGTCTCTTTTATGTTGGCATTTCAAGCCACGCTCTTGCGATTTTCGATCATGGTGCATGTCCTTTTGTGACTTTAAAATCGAATTAATCTTAAATGGAAAGTAGTAAACCTTTCTTTTTGATAGTCTTACATCAGAAGGTTACAGTTTTGATGTTAAATTCAATATAAGAACAATGTAAATAGCCACTTGCTGGTGCCTTTATTTTACAACATCTTAACTTGTCCTGAAATATCGTATATGTTTCAGCAGCAAATACAGAGTCATGGAGTTGTTGCTGAAATATGGAGTTGTTAAGACCATCGAGCAATTTCTAACATCTCTTTTTACACATATGATATTTTATATATGAAAAGCTATAGAGTCAAACTTCCATAACTCGAACTTCTATAACTCGAATTTCTCTATAACTCGAACAAAAATATTATCACGTGCCGATAGAAATATGAAAAAGTGCATTATTTAAGTCAAATTTTTGTTTTAAGTATGAATCCATTTTGGTGTTAGGGGAAGTCCCTTTTTCCAAACCAATCGATTCAATTTTTTCTTTCTAATGTTGCTTCTTTGTGCAAATGCCAGTTGCTGATAAATGGTAGTCAAACGATAGCGCACTGCTTTAACAAAGTTGAACTTAGCCAATTTTCTGCATGAGAGGAACAAGACGAGATTCCTTTAATATTCTTGAATAACATTGACGAAGACCGTGAATTAATGTAAAAGTAAAGTAAAATTGAAGCAAATAAATAACTTTCACAGCTACTCTTAACCATTATATAATATTAAGCTCCCCTATCTCAATATAGGGGACCCCATTCCAAGCGCAACGGAAAGTAATGATGAGGGTTCGGTTGATGAAATTGTTCATCAGCTTTCCAAGAATAAAGTAGAAAACTAATTCAGAATCCTGAATTTTTATTTGCAAACGAATGATAAATTGGAATCTCTTTTTACTAAATGTAAGAAGAAGAAAATTTTTAATCCCAAACCCTAATTTCTGAATATTTTACTTCACTATAACTTAAATATCTTAAAATGTGATTCTAGTTTCTTTCAATCACACAAAAAAAAAAAAATATTTTTTAACTTGAAGTCTCCATAAGTCGAACCTTTTTTTTTCAAAATGGTACTACGAGTTATGGAAGTTTGACTGTTTGATTCAGTTTAGTCCCATGTATTTTAATATGTGTAATACTTATTGTATAGCAGGCTAGGTAGCATTTGTTCTTCATTTCAAGACATATGTTTTTCTTCAATTTTATGCTTTTTGGATCATCTACAACAAGCATCTGAATTAGCTGTGACCTTAATATGTAGTCGTCTTACTCTTTCTCTAAGTACTATTAATATTATTTTTTGCTGCATATTATTGATTGCTTTCAGTCGACCGCACGAATTGAAATAGTCTTATTAAAATTGATCTGGATATGGAGCCAAGGGGCTATACAAAATTCATATGCTTTCAATTATTATTCTATTAATCTTATACTTAATGCTGCAAACCTAATAATATATGGGATATAAATAAAGGGATGTACAAGCTTAAAAAAACAATTTAAGGAAATGTAGATAGACTATATAATTGTATTATGATGGTACAGAAACTCTCTACATTGACGTTATGTTCTTGTACCAGTCCATAAGCAAATATGTAAGAAAATTTCGGAGATATTTTTTTTACTTTTTCGACGAGTCACATTTTTCCGTAAAAGCTAAATCGATATCGTTAGATATCGATATAGTTCTTCTTTTTTAAATAGCATTCAATAATCCATTTTTAGAGTTTTACCAAAATTCTTTCTCAGTAATGGTTTCTCCTATTCCAAGGAAAATAATAAATATTATTCCGTACTTATCTCAAATAAATTGCATCATATATTCAACCGGCTGTTGTGCCTTGATTAAATCCAAACATAGTTGTCTATACTCAGTTCTGACCCAGAAATGGTTTCGTGCTTCATCCATAGTTACGTGTTTTAGGAAAAAAATTGTGTTTCTTAAGCTCAATAAACTCCATTATTTTTCCTATTCCCAATTCAATGATGTCTGCAAATTCCCAATCACTCGAGTAACCCAATTCCAGATCAAGTAATTAATTTTTTTTTTGTCGCTGGAGCGGAATTTCACTTCTTCGTTTTTAATTTAGCGCCATTTATTATTTTTCACTTCCATAACCTTTTGCTAATTGAAACAATATTTTTTATTAGCAAAATGAGCAGTTAACATGATTTCTACCCCTGCCCTTCAGCGGTGGAACTTCGCAGTTAACAAACATGGGAATCCATAGAAACAATTCGAGTTGAAATTATGGATTCGCACGCGAATCATGCGTTGCGCACATAAAATAAAAAACCCATTAAAGTATTTAATAATTTTTGTAAATTATGTACATAAATTTCCTCTTAAAACTTTTTTTAGTAAAAATTTAATTCAGATTTATCGAAAATGAATTAATTTTCTTTCCCCTACAAAATATAGTTGGCACTTTTAGTTCCAGAAGTGATACACTTCACTATATGTGTTTACTACAAAAATAGCAAATCATATTACTCAAGAAGGCAAAATACACTGTCCGAATAAATAAGAGATAGGGGAAGGAAATTTTTTCTCCTGGAAACCCACTTCGTAGAGTTCTGTAACCTACTATGCAACATTAATTTTGCATTATTTTTCTTAAAACATGAAGCGTAAAGAAGACGTTGAATGAGTTTTACAGTCCCAATGCAGAAGTCCTAATGAGAGAAGTTAAGGAATGTGACGTAAGGTTAAAAAATAGTACTTACTAATAAAAAAACGCATTAATAATACCTATTTTATGTCCAGATCTGTAAGGTGCCATATAAATTGTAAGGAATAACATATCATCTCAATGGCAACCATGGTTTTGTTGATATATATGAATTATTTGTGAAAAGGTTTTTGATCTAATCGTCTTCGATCTTAAAAATTTTCAATTTTTTTCCTAGCAATTTACATTTTAACAATTTGAATCTAAATGAATAAATATTTTTGATGGTATATATTTTAGAAATTATTTTAATTAAAATTGCGTGGGTTTGCGTAATAATACTTCTAAAGATAACGCCATCAGAATATAAGTCAATTTTGTATAAAATTTTCTAATGAATATACATTAAAATGAAAAATAAAATTTCCCATGTTTATTTAAAAGAAAGATTTTTTAGCAAATAATATTAAGTAATCAAACGAAAGAAATTTTAATTTAATTTAATTTTAATTACTGAAAACATTTCTGAAATACTTTATTAATTGTATTTCTAACAACTTGTTTCAATAATTTACAAACCCCGAGACTTGACCATTTTAAAATTGATCTATGGTATAATGCAGATTCCCAAAACCCAATATAACCCCTCAACACTTGTCAACTATGGCAATACAAATGAGCGTTATTTCTAGTCTATCTCTCGAACCACATATTCTACAGAAGACGCAAAGTAATCAGAAATTCAATCTGAATCAGCTGAAAGATCAACAGGCAAAAGCAGTAAATAATAGGGCTACAGCCTCATTAACCCCATCACAGTTCAAACCAAACGCAATAAAGCAAAGCACGCTAGGACGCAATTAATCAGTGCAATATCCGATATCACTCCAAAATACTTCACAAGCACTATGGAAATCTCTTCCACCTCTTTTATACCTCATAACTTTTTCGTTTTTCGTTACGTGTATTTTTATTTGAAAGAAAAGACCTCATATTTTTTTACGATTTTATCAGAATCGCAGGTAATAGAGTGAGAATATAATTTTCTTATGCGGAAATCTATTCTCTTCAAATAGTAGTCATATTAAAACTTATGGGCCAATTTACATAATATTGAGATATTAAATAGATGAATTCCAACATTTTTTGTCTTATTCTATGCTACCCCGTTCAAGTAAATGAAGAACTTATTTTAGGTATACAAATATATATGCAGATACACTCGAGTTTACTTTCTCCTTAAATGTTGAGCTTAAGTCTTTGTAACAGAAATTCTTCTTAAATAAAGAAAGAACAGAAACTGGAGCAGGGGAGGTTTCCGTTTGCGAATGCAATTAGAAAACTAAAATGGTTTTCGTTTGCATTTCGCACTTGCTAACACATTATAATGATTAAGTAAAAAAATAGAATGGAAATTCACTATACGACTATGAACTTTTCTGACAGCGTCATTCAAAAAAGAAAACTCAATTCTCAGCGATTTCCATAATTGGATTTCCGAAGTTTGAATTGCTGCATGCAAAGTTGACGTTTATCGACAGCATTTGTACTGCTCGCCTGCAATTAGAAAAAGTTGTGTCCTTTGAACTGAAATTCCTTAGACATGCACACATAACAGCAATTTAAGCTTTGTTCAGCACAAATTTAAAATCTTTTATTCTTTTTTTTCAGAACTTTGGTACAATTTAGTAAAATCTTCAAGATCAAAAACATTATTTTTTTAAGGCTTAGTTCTACTTACCACGTGAAGAGAAATGTATGCTTATATCTAAACCATATTTTATCAGATATTTGAGGATTAAGGAATCAGATAGTGAAGTAATCTAGTCGATAATCATGATTTATGAATGTATGAATGGAAATCTCAATGGGTCTCTGCGGTGTACACTCTTTTTTCTATTTTTCTCAACCACTTATTAATTTTTTAGCGCTGTAATATAGCATATGAGTGCTGCAATCTAGAATTTTTAAAACAATGATTGCAATTTCATTATAAATACAGTGTTTAGTATTACATAATTTTGATGATATGTTTTAATAGAATTTATTGCCTTTAATCTGGCTTTACATGGCCAGATTTGTCATATTCCAAAATACCATATAATAAAAGATATTAATAATTTAGCAAAAAGACAAAACGGATAATTTGTTTTTATTAAACGAACAATTCGAATATAATAACAGTTTGCCATAATAAATTTCCGTGAATTTGTTTCGGATATTAATTACCCTGTAAGCGCTTTTTTATAAAGCTTAAGAGAAAAATCGTAATACTTTCTCCCAACTAAATACTTAATATATGGGAGTAATCAGTGTTTAAAGTATCAGAAATTTATAATTTAAAAAACTTGCCTTCTTTGATTGGTTGGTTTCATGGGCGTCAGAATTTCCTGTTCTGCCTAAGTGGCGTATGAATTACAGCAAAAACCCAGAGGTTAGTATTAAAACCAACCGGCATTGTTGATAAAGCAGATTTTTTTATGCGATCTATATTTGAGGCTTATTAGTTTAAAAATTTCAGTAATGAAATATCCCAAAGTTTCCAGACCTTAGAACTTGCAAAGGAAGTATTTAGTTATATCGTTTGTCGTCTGATTTACTTTATCTTCTACATTGTCTTCCAGAGGCAAATGTTCTAATTTTTTTCGTATAAATTATATTTGACTTCTGTATTTGTATTCTGAAAATGAATAGGGAGAAATATAAGAATAGAATGCTCATATTTATACATTATCAGAAAAAATTATTCGAAATTTTTGAACCTAAGTGACTTTTAATATTCTCGAAACTTTAAGTATCTAAAGAAAAACATTTGAAGCTGACTACAGCCATAAGGCGTTAAAGTCAATATTTAAATCAACTTAGGAAAACTGTGAACTATATATAAAATATTAGGGGAAGTTCTGATGTTGGAACATTTTACGCAAAGGGATCTACTTTGATGGCGACAAAAGAGCTTTTGTTTGATTGACGATTTTGTATATCACATGTAATAGCTAAGTATATTTTCCACACTGAATGGATGTATATACTGCGTTAAAATTCATAGATTTTTTATTGGAAATATAATTTATCCATTATACCAAAGAATCAAGCTTTTGGTTAATGTCGCTTTGAACCCTGACATTGTGTAGGTATGCATCTTAATTTCTAGTAATGAAACAACATATTAAAAAAAGTGATATCTGCTTAATTGTAATTATAATCAAACTAACATTAAGAATAAGATGGACTTAAGTAAGCCTGTCCCCAATAAGCTAAGAAAGTCATAATGATTCCACATTTTTTGTAATAGTGGGTAGAAAGATTGGCATATTAGAACCAGCCGAAAGCATTGATAAATGCAAGTACCTGGCCAATATTAATACTGGAAATATCGGCAAGTGTATTAAAGAACGTTGCGCCCACATCAATTATTATTTTCAATTTATTAAAAAAAACTTTAATATTAATACAATATTATTTTAATGCTGAAATAAATTTATTTTACAGGTCGTCTTTTGGTGTCAAAAACATTATTTTTTTAAGGCTTAGTTCTACTTACCACGTGAAGAGAAATGTATGCTTATATCTAAACCATATTTTATCAGATATTTGAGGATTAAGGAATCAGATAGTGAAGTAATCTAGTCGATAATCATGATTTATGAATGTATGAATGGAAATCTCAATGGGTCTCTGCGGTGTACACTCTTTTTTCTATTTTTCTCAACCACTTATTAATTTTTTAGCGCTGTAATATAGCATATGAGTGCTGCAATCTAGAATTTTTAAAACAATGATTGCAATTTCATTATAAATACAGTGTTTAGTATTACATAATTTTGATGATATGTTTTAATAGAATTTATTGCCTTTAATCTGGCTTTACATGGCCAGATTTGTCATATTCCAAAATACCATATAATAAAAGATATTAATAATTTAGCAAAAAGACAAAACGGATAATTTGTTTTTATTAAACGAACAATTCGAATATAATAACAGTTTGCCATAATAAATTTCCGTGAATTTGTTTCGGATATTAATTACCCTGTAAGCGCTTTTTTATAAAGCTTAAGAGAAAAATCGTAATACTTTCTCCCAACTAAATACTTAATATATGGGAGTAATCAGTGTTTAAAGTATCAGAAATTTATAATTTAAAAAACTTGCCTTCTTTGATTGGTTGGTTTCATGGGCGTCAGAATTTCCTGTTCTGCCTAAGTGGCGTATGAATTACAGCAAAAACCCAGAGGTTAGTATTAAAACCAACCGGCATTGTTGATAAAGCAGATTTTTTTATGCGATCTATATTTGAGGCTTATTAGTTTAAAAATTTCAGTAATGAAATATCCCAAAGTTTCCAGACCTTAGAACTTGCAAAGGAAGTATTTAGTTATATCGTTTGTCGTCTGATTTACTTTATCTTCTACATTGTCTTCCAGAGGCAAATGTTCTAATTTTTTTCGTATAAATTATATTTGACTTCTGTATTTGTATTCTGAAAATGAATAGGGAGAAATATAAGAATAGAATGCTCATATTTATACATTATCAGAAAAAATTATTCGAAATTTTTGAACCTAAGTGACTTTTAATATTCTCGAAACTTTAAGTATCTAAAGAAAAACATTTGAAGCTGACTACAGCCATAAGGCGTTAAAGTCAATATTTAAATCAACTTAGGAAAACTGTGAACTATATATAAAATATTAGGGGAAGTTCTGATGTTGGAACATTTTACGCAAAGGGATCTACTTTGATGGCGACAAAAGAGCTTTTGTTTGATTGACGATTTTGTATATCACATGTAATAGCTAAGTATATTTTCCACACTGAATGGATGTATATACTGCGTTAAAATTCATAGATTTTTTATTGGAAATATAATTTATCCATTATACCAAAGAATCAAGCTTTTGGTTAATGTCGCTTTGAACCCTGACATTGTGTAGGTATGCATCTTAATTTCTAGTAATGAAACAACATATTAAAAAAAGTGATATCTGCTTAATTGTAATTATAATCAAACTAACATTAAGAATAAGATGGACTTAAGTAAGCCTGTCCCCAATAAGCTAAGAAAGTCATAATGATTCCACATTTTTTGTAATAGTGGGTAGAAAGATTGGCATATTAGAACCAGCCGAAAGCATTGATAAATGCAAGTACCTGGTCAATATTAATACTGGAAATATCGGCAAGTGTATTAAAGAACGTTGCGCCCACATCAATTATTATTTTCAATTTATTAAAAAAAACTTTAATATTAATACAATATTATTTTAATGCTGAAATAAATTTATTTTACAGGTCGTCTTTTGGTGTGCCTTAGGTGCCATTATTTTGGGTGGAATCGTTTTCATTTCATATTGGATACGAAGATGCAGGTATGCATACTATTGTTATGTATAAGACTACAGTAAAAACGAATATTTGAATATAATATAAATAGCATTAAAACATTTGTGTATAGCTTATAGCATTAGAAGTGAAGAATTTTAACTTAAGATTTGTACTTATAAAGAAAGTACAATTTTCGAAGTGAAAGCGCAAAAAACTTTCAAACAAAATTGCGATTACCGAAATCTAAAAGGTAAAAGGAATTTTATTGAAAAAGTTACTGCCAAAGAATGTGTAAAACAAAAGATTTACTTAACCTTTGAAATGTTAAATGTTCTAGAATATAAATGTCAGGCATGCGGTATTGACTTTGTGGGTGCGAGCCGCCTTAGCCGCTTCAGCCGCAAAATGTAAATGCGGCACAGTGCCTTTTAAAAGTTACTCATACGCCCGGCGTCATTTGTGAGCAGCAATTTTGACGCCCACATTTTGGGGCCAGAAATAAACATCATCAAATGAATTGAAAAATATGCAGGTTGACTGTGTGTATGAATGCAGGTGCGAATCGGCGTGTGTGTAGAGTCGCTTTCATGTGGTTACTGATAATAGGGGCTAAAACAATACCTCACAAACATACAAGCTCTTTGCCTCCGATGAGCGTGCACAAATAGGTACTTTTGTATGCACCTAAATGGGCCTACAAAAATAAAATGGATTGCTGTCTTAAGCTCCACAATGAGTACACGTGACTGAAAGAAATACAAACACATTTACACAAATAAACCATAAATAAATACTGACACCCGCCGGACACAGCTAAAGTGCATTCAAATCGTAGTACTGTACAAAAGCGTTGGGGGAGGGAAAATGACTAAATAAATATTTGCATTTTAGTGAAGAAAATTGGCTAAGTGTCCAATTTTCCAACGCTGTATTTAAGTAAATGAAACAAAGCAAAAAAAACAAAAAAAAACGAATATTAATGAAACAATGAAATGAATTACAAGAAATAGGAAAAAAAAAATAAATTGAAATAAAAACAAGCAGAGTGAGGCAACAACATGCAACAAAATAAAACACAATCAATTATTTAAACTGACAATTTCCACACGAATGTGAATGTTTTATTTAATGTCTAAGGCCATCACTTTGACTACATACATATTTACACAATCACACAATTACACATTTACACAATAACGAAATTAAACATTCGAACAGAAAAGCAACAAACGTTCAAGGATATAAATGAGCCGTACTTATGCTAGGCCCCAGCTAAGGCAAAGGCACTGTGTACTCACATATGTAATTGCACACAAACAAATACATGAACTGTCGTAAAATATATCAAATGACATTTAGTTTACAAACGCCCCTTTAATAAGACCCCTAACCCAATAGACCATAAGTAAATATTTAAATGTGTTATGTACCGTTCAGAGCAATTGTTCTGTTTGGAATCTTTGTAGCACGCTTCAGAGTGTTACAATACTACAATATTCGAATAGTTCGCGTACTTTTAGATTCGAACAGTTAGAGATCAAACACATATTCATAAAAAATTTCTACTTCGTTTTATTTTCACTATGTTTTAATAAAATTTGTATAACAGAAAATATTCGAACATTATATGATATTCGAATATACTATGACACACTATGCTCAAGTCAAAATGATATCAAGTAGATTCAAATTTGAATATTAAGATTTTATATTTTGAATATTCGAAATTATTCCAGCTGCTTCATTTTTCTTTTCGTTTTCGAATCTCAACATTAAGAGTTCACACTTCCAATATTCGAAATTATTCCAGCTGCTTTATTTTTCTTTTTGTGTTCGAATCTCAATGTTAAGAATTTCCACTTTGAATATTCGAAATTATTCCAGCTGCATCATTTTTCTTTTCATTTTCGAATCTTAACATTTAGATTTTATACTTCGAATATTCAAAAATGTTTAAGCTGCTTCATTTTATTTCGTTCTGCTTTTTTTGTTTTATACAACTGCATATAACAGCCAATATTCGAACTTCATATGAAATTCGAATATTTTCGAATGGCACGCTGTGGTCAACTCAAATCCTCCAACAAAAATATACTTTAATATCAAACTGCATAAAGCTTTGAAGTAGTCAAAGAAAATTTGAACCCCTAGTTTTTAGGGTTAACCTTAAACACGTATCGAAATGATGGAAAAATATATATACCCATAAAATTTGTTTTAAATTTCATTAGAAAAGAGAAACTCTAATCTTTAGAAAATACACTACCATTCAGTACCTGCAGATCCTGCAAAATAAAAGGTACCTCCGAGTATTTAACTAAATAAAATTTTTTAAAAATTAAATTTTGCAGAGAAAAATGTGAACACAGTTTTATTTACATTCGATTTCAAATTTATAAATATATACCTAAAAACTTAAAAAAAGACAATTAGTAAAAGTAATGTTAAATTAATTAATTTATATCAAACAAAATAAACTATTCTTTTTTTCGATTGATTTTCAAACTGATTTTTTAAATAATTTAACACATAAATATGCAATAAATTCAATGTTCGATAATTATGGCAACCCTTAGCGCTCTGGTATTTAAGTGCGCAACCCTCCACCTTCAATTGGGCAGTTCAAAAGAAATCCGAACTATCAACTTAACACATTAGAAAACCATAAGTGCTCATGCAGCAACAGCGGCAGTAACGGCAGCAGCAGCAGCAGCAGCTCCATAAGTTTTTAACAATACAGCGCTTCACCAGCAATAGTAAAAACAATAACAAATACAGAAAGCACAAAAACAATAACTGTATATGTTTTTTGTCTTGAATTTCATAGCGCAACTTTTTTACGACGTATCAAAACAAGAAACAAAAACTAGCAACAGCAACAACAACAACGAAAACAAAAACAAAAACACAAATACAGTATTATTAGGAAAGAAATGTTAAAAAGCCCTTTTAATGCTTTTTACAACTTCAATGGTTGCTTTTTTTCTCATAATTGTTGTTTCCATTTAAAGCAAATACACAACCAAATGCAGGAGTATGTGTACATGTGTAACTATTATGCGCATATACACACATATATGAAACTAAACTACTTGCTGGTTTATTGTTAACATTAGCTGAACTTACCAGTGAAAAAGAAAATACTTATCACATTGAAGTAAAGAAAAAAAATGTATGTTAGTTGTTAGTGTGTTTATGTATTGTATAAGGATTTGTTGTTGTCGAAACGTATTGTAAAATAGTTGCCCTTTGAGTAATCGACAGTTCCAAAAGTCTAACTAACGATACAGTGGATCAATGCTGGGAAAATAGTATACAAATGTATACGCATTATAATCATTAAAATGAAGGAATAATATATAAAAATTCAAAAACTTTTATAAATTATAAAAGTCACAAATAAATATATATAAATTATAGTATATAATAAAATTAATTAAACTGTTCTATGTATAAATATGTATGAATTATATATATAAATTGAAATAAATTATAAAACAAATGTGTACACAAAATTTAATTAAACTATACAATCAAGTATAATTCGCAATCCCAATATATAAAACTCAGCTTAGTAAAAGTATGTATGTATGTATGTTGATCCTTTTTTCGAGTCAGCGCAACTGGGCACTTTTACTCTTTGATAGCTGGGGGTACTACAGGGTCCCACCCATCTCATTGACTAATTTATGTATTCCTTATAAGTTTCATGATTATTCAGTGATTGATCTAAGATCTGTGTACCTCCCCGTGTGGAGAGTGATTACTCTAAGATTAGATAGTGCTAAGTAGGATAGCCTGTCAGTTTTCGCATATAACTTCAGGGCTCTGTCCCTTATATATATTTTGATCGGGTCTATTCTAAGATCTCTTAGCATGTCGTTTGTGCGGACATGCAAACGGAATTGTGGAACGATATAATATTATATATGCTATTAACAACCATAAGTTGTAGGTAACTAGGTAGGTAAAGTGGAAGGAGAATTAAATTCTTTTCAATTAACTAAGAAAGCCGTTTTAATTCCATATTCCTCTTAATTGTGCGTAGAAGGATGGGCATATTAAAATTAGCTGGACGTATTGATAAATGTAAATATCTAGCCAATAATAATGTTGAAAATATCGGTGATTGTGCTAAAGAATGCAGCGCTCAATAGCTTAAGCCTGGTATTAGAGAAATTTGTACATGAGCACAACAATTACTCTAGTATCTCCTCTTCGAGCGTTGGTAAACATGTACTACAGGTGGTTTGACAAGACAAGCCAATCCTACTTTCACGCCGTCCTGTAGTTCAGGATCCCTTTAGAACTCATATACTAACTTGGATACTTTCTATTCACTATGTTCTATGTATTAAGGTTCATGTAGATCTTAACCTGGCTGCTAAGAAAATAAAAGCCCAATTTGTTTTTTTCTGTCGCAATAAATGGTCGTAAATCCACTTTCATCTTTGGGTGACACGAGCAATTGAAACGGAAGTTTTCACAGAAAATGCACAAAATCTTGGAAGCAACATTAGAATAACCAGGAATTCAAATTAAAGTTTCCTTGGAGCCAGTGCCTACTATGTTACATCGTCTATTTTCATAAACTATTTTAGACAAGAAGTAGACTACTAAAATAAAATTTATAGCTGCCTAATTATCAGTGATAATGTAGAGTTTTTTTTTTTGAAAGTTCATGCTGGCAGTAAGAGAAAAAGCTCCTATAATGGCGAAAACTTAGTCTGAAATATGGAGGTAAAGTTTCCAAAGTAGTAGGATTCACAAATCCCTAGATCCACAGAACAAATTCCGGTTCTTTTGCCATTATCCTTCCTTGATCCGTTAATATAAACAATTTTTGGCCTCACTTGTGTTGTGATCCGCTCTTTCTCTCTATCCCCTTATAAGGGAGTTCTAGTGGCAAAGCTGTTATCAAAGTATAAGTTATGAATTTAAGTTGTATTTTTACTTCTTCTTCGATAGAGTTTTTTTCTTCACGTGACCTTATAACTCTCGTTTTCATTCCCGGAAAATGATAGATATGGCAAATAGATGCCAT